GTCTTTGCTTACATGAGTTGGCTAAGAGCCTTAGAGGTCGAGATCATAAAAGAGGAAAATTCTCATAGCAACTCTCATGGACGAGAAACATCATAGAGATGTCAACACGACTCTAGAATATAATTGTGATATTCTATTATTTGACTCATCTTTAGCACCTGCAAAACTTTGTGTATGTTTATAAGGTAACTCATGAGGAGCAGGTGCAATAATGTCTCGTCACCGTGGATAAGTGGCTTGCGATAGATAAAATGTTGCACTCAGTGGGTTCACAAGGCTTATATTGTACCAACGGGCTAACAAACCTTAGTTGTGACAATGACACTGTAAGATGAGGTTGAATTACTACTCTTATGAATTTAATTTTAAAGGAGATGTAAAATATATTGAGATGATAATATAAGATGTGAACGATAGGTGGCAAATGAATGGAAATGATTGATATTTTGGTCTCTTTTATCCTACAAATTCATTGCTACATATCTAATCCAACCAAAAAAGTCAATGATGCATTAATTGCAACTAACATTTAAAATAGTAAATAATAATAATAATAACCTTAAACAAACATGTCCTAGATAGTTTCATTTTGAATGGCCAAAATTTTCAAGGCTATTGGATTTTGACAACTAATACACAACAAGCTAAAAGGTCTGAAGTAAAATGAGCAAGAAATGATATCTTTTTTTAGACTCGAGGGTATACCTTATAATTTTCTTAATTTAGAAATTAACACAAAAAATCTACAAAATAAGAGCCTAACCCAAATCTCCTAATATTATTTCATCAAACCATATATCAAAATTCTAATAGGGAAATTTGCTTTGAAACCTTTTTTTGTATTTTTTTTTGTCCCCACCCTTTGACCAACTCCTTATGTGAAAATCCTAGTGACTTTGCCTTTTTTACTCTCTTCCCTTCTCTCATTCCTCTCTTTTTCTCTCACCAAAATACCCTCATCTTCAACCTCTCATTTCCTTTCTCCTCTTCAACCTCTCATCTTCTTACCCTCCTTCTTCTCCATCATTCTTCTCTTACTTAATCTTGACTTCTTATCATATTTTCTCCTTCATCTTCTCCTTTCCCTCCTACCCTCTTTCCTTCACCTATCTGCCTTTCTCCTTTCATATCCGCCCGTACTTTCTTCCTCCTTTTGACTTCGTTCTCACCATTCCTTCCTCCTCACCTCCTTACTCGACCGTCACCTCTTTCCAACGTCAACTTAAGTTAACAAAAAATAAGCGAAGTTAAAATCAATAACTAAAACATTTGTTTTTATTAACTTACATTTTTTATTAATTTCGCCTATTTTTTGTTAACTCTAATTATTTTATATTATTTTTAAATATTTTTTATAAACTTAATTGTCAGTTATTAACATTTATCTATTTGTATGAACTTTTATTATTTGTTGCTAACTTTTATTTTTAAAAAAAAATTGGCATGACCATGACTTTGGTTTAAGAAAATGATGGAGGGAGAAAAGGAAGAAGGGGTGAAGGAGGATGGAAGCGGATGCAAAGAGAGGAGGAAGGAGGAGAAAGGAGAGAGGAGGTGCATGCATGGAGGTAGAGAAGGAGGAGAGAAATAATGCATACATATTAATGGAAGAGAAGGACGAGAAAACTATAACAAAGTTAGAGATGGAGAAGGAGAAGAAGAGGGAAGCGAAGATGGAAGAGGCTGAGAAGGATAAGAGAGGAAGAGGTAGGTGAGCTGGAGGTGGAGATGGAAGAAGAGAGGAGGACATCAAAGATAAAGTTTGAAAAGAAGGATAGGAGGAGACCAAATATTGGCAGATATAGAGGATGAAGGTGGAGAGGGGGAGTGTTGATGGTTAATATGATCACACAATCAGTTGGATACAAACTAGAATCGGTTTGTTCAATATTGAAGTGGGCTTGCTTCCTTCTCTGACTTTATGTCTAGTTCTTTGAGTTGGGTATCTAAAGGATGTACATGAATAGAAAATACATAAGAGGATGGGTTTGATTCCCCCGTTATACCTCCAACGATCAAGTTAGCTGATGACTTGAGTGAGGTAAAAAAAGAACTGTGTGTTCTTGTAATTGTGTAATGTGTGCGTAAGAGGATTAGATTTGTGAACCTCCTTCATGTTAGAATAGTACTTGTATTTATACTAAGGAGGCAAGGGCAAATTAGTCACTTCGACCTAGAGCAGTAAGGTTGTGGCGAAGGATGGGCTGGCGAAGGATGGGCTGGCAGCCACATCGGTACTTGCTTTACAGGTGTCGGCCAGCGAGTGGATGGAATATTGCTTTGGTATTAAATGAGAAAAGATTAACGGCATGGCAGGGCCCGCATAGTCCGATGAGTCATGAAGACTATTTGAGCTAGAGCCATGATGGCGCATGTTCTATATTAAATGTGATGTTGACACGTTGTCATAGAAATAGGGGCTCGAGACTAAAATAGCTATTTAACTTCGCTGAGAAGTAACGCCCTTTGAGCCGACTTTGTAACCGCCTTACAAGTGGTCGAGTGGACTCACGACGAGTTTTTCAATAGAAGGAGGTCGACTAGCACCGTCTTTCGTGTCGACACTGAGGGGCGTCGTCTCGTCCTGTCGGCTGAGTTGTCGGCCTTGATTATCTCTGGTCGCTAAGAAAAATGTAGCATAGCGTATCGAAGTAGACTTATCAACTACTTGAGTTTAAATTGTATTTTGACAAAAATGGGAACACTATAACAAGGAGGATGATAAAAATGAAGAAAGTTAAAGATGTAAGAGGTTGAAGATTGTAGAGAGACAAGAAGTTAAAGAAGAGCATATTCAAGGGAAAGAAGGAGAGTGGGTGGAGAGATGAGAGGTTAAAGATGAATGCATTTTGCCTAGGGAGAAAAAGAGGGAAGGAGGTGAGAAATGGGGGAGAGTAAAAAGGTAGTTCAATGGCATGTTTAACACAAGGAGTTGGTCAAAGGGTGAGACAAATTTAAAAAATCCAAAAAAGAGGGCTCAAAACAAATTTCCCCACAAAAAACATCCTTTTAATTATATATACACATTTTAGAATGCTTTACAGGCAAACATGCAATTAAATTGTATTTTGATGCAATAAATTGTAGATCACTGAAGGATAAATTCAAATTAAATTTTTTATACAAATATTAAAAACAATATTTGGTGTAGTTACAATTTCATATTATCAAACAAAACCTTAATTTTTATTGGTTCATCCATACCATCCCATCCCATAATTTTCATGTGGGCATGAGGGGAAACTAAGTAACTAATATATTTGCAAATCATACTACCTTTAAAAGTACAAGTTCGGGAAAATCTTTTCATGGTCAATATTGCCCTTGACTATTTGAATATTTTATTTAAATTTTAATTTATTATAATCATAATTATATCATATCCTAATCCTATGTGAACTACTTACAAATCAATAATTTAAAGATTAATAAGCTATAATATATGAAGATTGTAAAAAACCTAAAAAGTTTTAAAAATTACACAAAACTCCCTTAAAAGTATAAAATTACACAAAATATCTAGACATTTCAAAACTTAAAACAACAAACATGAAACCCTCAATATTTTAAAAACTATAAAAACACCCTCAAAAGTTCAAATAATAAAAAAGCACTATGAAATTCTAAGATTTCAAAAGTTTCAAACAACAAACACGAATTCAAGGAATTACTATAAGACACTAAAAAACTAAAATTTGTGAAAAATAACCTCAAAGTTATAAAAATTCTGAAAAACTCCTTCGAAAATTAAAAAACACAGAAAACCCTAAATTTTAATAACTTATAACCAATACATATCAAATCTCAAAATTATTAACAGACCACTAAAGATTTAAATTTTGCAACAAACAATCTAAAGTTTCAATAATTATAAAAAATACCCTCAAAATTTAGAGTTGTAAGAACTACTCTGACATTCAAAAACTTACTACCAGCACATGAAACATGAAAATTACAAACACCCAACTTAAAATTTAAATTTTTTAAAAAATGCTCTCAAAGTTTCAAAATTTGCAAAAGACACCCTTAAAAATTCAAAATCACGAAAAAGCGACTAAAATTTCAAAATATAGCAAAAAAAAAGAGTCATTATTTGATATTCTTTCATTAAGACATGTAAATTTAACTTTTATTTTAAGATTTTACTATCCTTGTTTGGCATCTAAAAGTAGTCTAATTTTATCAAAAAATATAAAGGTGGAGAAGGATTGATAACGTCTCAATAAAAAATAAAACAGAAGGAATGAAAGACATTATTTTCTAAATATTTTATAAAATAGGTTTTTTTGGAGTCGATTAGGAATTTTTGTAAGGGATTTTCATAAACTTTTTTAGTACTTTTATATGATTATGTGGATGTTTTCATTATATAAAAGTATACTAGATTTAGTATTAATCTTTATTTTATAATTTTTTAAAGTATATCAAGGATTAGGAACAAACTCCATATTATCTTTTGTGTCATTTTAGCCCACTTTTAATCAATCATCTTGTCTTATGAGCTTTAATTATCCATTTTCCTTTTAGAACGCTATTTTTTGAAGTGTTTTTCACTTTTACAATGCTATATTTTCTCAGTTCAAGCTTGGTTTCATGTCGGTCTCAATGACATGATAATTCAAATTGATTTCGAATTACATTTTTTTTCCTGTCAATTCAATTATCAATATAAAAATTTAAATTGGGTGTAGTTCATTTAAACGAATATTAAAGAAAATAAATAATCTCAGTGCTAAAGTTTAGATATATAAGTAAGCAAAAACCATCAAAGTGAAACCGATGAACAAGTTTTGGTAAGGAAATAAACCAAATATATTTAATCACGATATTTGACCACGTGCATAAAACTTAGTAAAGAAAAAATAAGAGGGAGAAAAAGGATGAGAAAAATAAAGCAAGTCTGAGCCCAGTACGGCCCAGACACGGCCCAGACCGGACCCAACTATAGGAATTCGGCAAATCTCAACCGTTCGCTGAGCGAACTAGTTATAAACCCTAGATCCAGATATCTAGGGTTTTATATAAAACTAGAACCCGCCGCTTCCCTAAAATCCCTTTCACGCTCTTTCTTCTTCATTCTTCGAAGAGAGAGCTCACGAAGAGGAAGAGCAATGGTAAGAGATCCATCGCCATCCCTTATTAAATTTACTAAATTTATTACTTGGATCTTTCTCTATTTGCCTACATTTGTCTCTAGGGTTTTATTCTTAGATCTATTTCTCATACTTAAGTTCTGTAGCATTCTTTTTTATGATTGTATCTAAACCGTGACTTATTAGATAAAAGAGAATCAAATGGGTTCAGCGTATAATTCTTGTAGATCTTTAGTCATTTAATCTGATATATAGTGTTGGTGTTGGGGTGTTCCTCAATAGCGCTTCTTGCTTTTTTGGAGCTGAGGAATTCCAGTATCTTTTGACAAATTATTATTATTATTGGTATTTACAGAGAGACTACATTATAATGATGATCAACTTCTTGATTATTAGACTGTTAGTTACACTTCTGTTCGGTCTCATCATTGGTGACTAGACCTTACATTATATTTTAGGATTATTTGCTCTTAAATACCCTAGAAGTTTACTCCAATTTTAGTTCAACAAAATATAAGTTTGATGCCCCAAACTTAGCAAAAAAAATTAACTTTGATACCTCAAACTCAAGAAATTCAAGCTTGGGAGTGTGAATGTTAAAATTCAAGTTTAGGTGTGAATGTTAAATTTTGTTGAACTTTGGGGTATTTTGTATTAGGGCAACTTTTTTTCTTTGGGTATCCAAGTTAAAATGAGGCAACTCTCTAGTTATTTGAGTGCAAATTACCCTATATTTTATCATGCTAAATCACTTTGTATGTGTACAGAAAATTAACATGATGCTATTTGTTCACATGTTTGGGTCATAACCATTTAATAATAGCCAATAATGGATATGAGATGGCGGCTCATTTGCTAAATGAGCTACCGAGAGATAGCCTTGTTGTGAGGCCTATCTTGTTAGTCACATCAAAAGGTGGGGATCTCACCATTCCATCTCTTAGCAGCTCATTTAGCAAAATGAGCCGCCACCTCATACCCATCATTCCCTTAATAATATTAGTCTCATATATTTGACTTACGCTTGTCACATGAATTTTTAGGCATTTGTCAAGGCCCAGAAGTCCAGGGCTTACTTTAAGCGTTTCCAAGTGAAATACAAGAGAAGAAGAGGTACTTGCCGTATTTTATTCTGTTCAAACTCCTTTTTTTCTGTTTATACTGAAAATATCTCTGTTGGTTGTGCAGATGGGAAGACTGATTACCGGGCACGTATTCGTCTTATCAATCAAGATAAGAATAAGTACAACACCCCGAAGTACCGATTTGTTGTTCGATTCACCAACAAGGATATTATTGCACAAATAACATCTGCAAGCATCACTGGTGATATGGTTCTCGCTGCAGCTTATTCTCATGAGCTACCTCGCTATGGGCTTAAAGCTGGTCTTACCAACTATGCTGCTGGTAGTTATACAATGTTTTAAATGAGCATTTTAATAGTTTCTTTCGATTTAATGTGTGGTATTTTCATACTATAACCTATGTTGAACAAAATTTAGCCTACTGCACTGGACTTCTGTTGGCTCGCCGTGTTCTCAAGATGCTTGAAATGGATGCGGAATATGAGGGGAATGTTGAGGTAGTGTTATTTAATAGTATTCACTTTCGCATGGGTAGGGCTATAGTTTTTCTGACATACTTATATTTTCTTTAGGCTACTGGAGAAGATTTTTCTGTTGAACCAGCTGAAAGCAGGAGGCCCTTCCGTGCTCTCTTGGATGTTGGTCTTATTAGGACAACTACTGGCAACCGTGTATTTGGTGCTCTTAAGGTACAACTTTTACTACCATATCCTTAAATCCTTCATTGATTCACTACATTATGTATATTAAATCAAATTTAGTGACTCCATGTTTGGCCCAAATGTGTCATTTAGTGAAATAGTGAAGTCATCTGTTAAATCAGTATAGTAATAGGTTTATTGAACTTTAGAGGGACGGAGATGAGCACGTTACATAATCATGTTAAATGGTAAGCGGAGCCATGATTGCTAGTTGTCAAGAAGATTGGTATCCCTTTTGAAAATGATTCAATGTGAGTTTTGTGTAAGAAACACAATTTTTTTCTTCATCCCTTCTCGTCTTTGCTGCAACTACATGTTAAATTCCTTTTCTAAGTTTTGTTTTTTGATAATTTATGTCATACTAGTTTTTTTACTGCGTTTTTTGGGAGGATCTTTTTCTCCACCATTGCGAGTAGTTATTTTGCCATTACCCTGATGTTTTTTTTACTTCTAATTGCAAATTGCTTTTTCTAATCTCTTGATGACAATTACTTAATGGACATTTAACAAAGAAACTAGAGTTAGGCATGAAATGTTTAGACTACTATACTAAGTTGAGGCCTGATTGTTGGACAGTAAAAACACAGCTTTCCATTTTTTTAATAAGTCACATCGCGTTTATAAGAAACATGACTTTGAGCTATTTGGGCATCTGCAAGATTTTTTTTGCTTAGTTATTTGAGATGATGCTTGTTTCAAAGATGAGGTTTCTATCCCATCAAATAATCCCGATGCTTTCTTTTTGTTGTTTATCCCTTACTCTTTTTTCCTGCAAGTACATGTCAGCATGTTTTAGCTATTAGTTCGATTTTCCTAACCCTTATCACAACTTTTTTGGGGGGGCCTATTACGCTAAACCATATAAATTCGCTTTTCTTCCTTAATGCTGAAGGTCCTTCACATCTGTAACTGTAAAATGCTCTTATTTGTTCCCTGAATTTCTTATGTATGGAGAAGCAACTAGGGATTAGGTTGACTTAACTCATCTGTTAGAATGAAGACTAGGTTAAACATAGAGAACAAGTTCATCCTTTATTTCCTCTGCTATGCATCATACATTATAAAACCACACACATACTGCAACTGTTCAAACATACCACGAGTATGACCGTTTTAATCTGCAGACAATTCGAGTTTAGCACAATTTCTCGTGTTGCAATGCATAGGATAGGGCTTTACATTTGCAGGTTATTTGTATGATTCTGAGAGTACTGGTACTTCTCATAACAATTAACATATATCTAGAAATTTTCTGTAGGATTATCTGATAGCTATTTTGATTCTATAATTTTAGTCGACACTGTGTCAACAGTGGTTTCTTACGCTCCTATTTTTTTTCTAATGCAGGGAGCACTTGATGGCGGCCTCGACATTCCTCACAGTGAGAAGAGGTTTGCAGGTTTCAAGAAGGATGAGAAGCAGTTGGATGCTGAAGTTCACAGGAAGTACATTTTCGGTGGCCATGTTGCTTCTTACATGAGGGTAAGACCCAAATCTTTACTTTTTAATTCCCAGTTGTATGTTATTTACTTGTGTCTCCTTGAGGCCAGCGTTGACTGCTCATTTGCTTGTATATTCTTTTATCAGATATTCACCTTGTGATTCTTCTTGCAGACACTGATGGAGGATGAGCCTGAGAAATATCAGACTCATTTTAGTGACTACATCAAGGAGGGAATTGAAGCTGATGACATGGAAGAGCTTTACAAGAAGGTGCATGCTGCCATCCGAGCAGACCCAACTCTGGTGAAATCCACCAAGGAGCCTCCAAAGGAGCACAAGAGGTGAAATCCTGTCCTTTGCTGATATAAGATCGTTTGCTGATATAAGATCGTCGATACATTCTTAGTGCCCATTACTGATTTATTGCTAATACTGGATTTTGTCTCACAGATACAACTTGAAGAAGCTGACGTATGATGAGAGGAAGGCCAGGCTTATTGAAAGGTTGAATGCCCTCAACAGTTCTGGAGGTGGTGATGATGAGGATGAAGATGACGACGAGTGAAGATCCAGTCAAGATTAGCTCAATTTTCATAGCATTTTTTTGTATCAGTTCTGTTTGCTTTCAACTCTACAGCTACTGTTAAAGTCCTTTGTTTTGGCTAGGGGTTAGTGATAAGCGTAATATTAAGTTTGTCTGGACTTGCTTAATGACATTTCAAATTTTGACTGTAGCCATAATTCTGGCATGTTTCGGAAATTTGATTAGTTTTCTGAAGTTTTGGTTTTTCTTATGCAGTTTTTCTTTCTTCAGTTCTGGTCCCTCTTGTGTGGTAGATTCATTGCTTTTCTTAGTGTTGGAAATTTACTTCGGTGGATTCTATTTGTGGCAAAGATGGCTGTCCTCACTTGGGTTCCTAGTTTCATTACCTTATGCAGTTTTTCTTTCTTCAGTTCTGGTCCCTCTTGTGTGGTAGATTCATTGCTTTTCTTAGTGTTGGAAATTTACTTCGGTGGATTCTATTTGTGGCAAAGATGGCTGTCCTCACTTGGGTTCCTAGTTTCATTACAGATTCATTCAATAGCTGAGATTATAAGACAATTAATGCTGCATAAGGGTAATCAGGTAAATTTATCAGCTTCCAAAGAGAGGTAATTAATGTGACTGTTGAGTTCCCCAAAAGTCACACCTCTCTCGTACACCCCCCATCTTTCTCTCTCTCCATCTCTTCTTATTCAGACCATCACCACCGCACCCATCAACTCCTATCAAGCGCCGACCGTCGCCTCCCATGAGCTCGACCTGTGCCGCCTCCAGCTCGCCGCCGCTCCCCCACCGCCCTCGCCTGAGCTCGTCCCCACCCTTGGCTGCACCGAACTCCTCCCCAAGCCGCCCTCCTCTCTCGTCGCCCACCTCCAGCGCCACCCATCGGCCGTCCTCATGGCCATCACCACCTCCGAGCTCCGCCATCTCGAACCAAATCCCCGCCTCCGACCTCGCCCTCATCCCCTCCCACCACGTCAGCTCCGACAGCAGCGCCTCCACGTCCAGCTACCGCCGCTCCAACCTCCTCGACGACCTCCGCCATCTCGATTCACAGCAGTGAATCTGGATTCACAGCAGTGAATCTGGATTCACTCAGTGAATCGCGATTCACTGCTGTGAATCGAGATTCACTGATGTGAATCGAGATTCACTGATGTGAATCCAGATTCACTGCTGTGAATCGAGATGGCGGAGGTCGTCGAGGAGGTTGGAGCGGCGGTAGCTGGACGTGGAGGCGCTGCTGTCGGAGCTGACGTGGTGGGAGGGGATGAGGGCGAGGTCGGAGGCGGGGATTTGGTTCGAGATGGCGGAGCTCGGAGGTGGTGATGGCCATGAGGACGGCCGATGGGTGGCGCTGGAGGTGGGCGACGAGAGAGGAGGGCGGCTTGGGGAGGAGTTCGGTGCAGCCAAGGGTGGGGACGAGCTCAGGCGAGGGCGGTGGGGGAGCGGCGGCGAGCTGGAGGCGGCACAGGTCGAGCTCATGGGAGGCGACGGTCGGCGCTTGATAGGAGTTGATGGGTGCGGTGGTGATGGTCTGAATAAGAAGAGATGGAGAGAGAGAAAGATGGGGGGTGTACGAGAGAGGTGTGACTTTTGGGGAACTCAACAGTCACATTAATTACCTCTCTTTGGAAGCTGATAAATTTACCTGATTACCCTTATGCAGCATTAATTGTCTTATAATCTCAGCCATTGAATGAATCTCAATCCAACGGAGTGGATAGGTTTTTAGTTTTTAGGATAGTGAGGTTTGCATTTGAACCTCTCCCTATACAAAATTTGTTAGAGAGTCTATTACTAAAAAACGACCATCATATATACCCAAAACCCTATTTCATTTTCTACCAGCCTATTCTTCTTTTTCCCATCCCTGTTCCGCCGCACACATTTAAAAAAAAAGGAGAGAAAACTAAAACGACGACTTCAGAGGACCTTGGATTCAAATATTTCATTTGATAGATTAAAATCTAATTAGATCGATGCGGCAGCGATTTACTGAGCAAGGGTAAATTGGGAAGGAAAACCTCAGCGCATGAACGGAAAGAAAACGAAGAAGAATGTCATGCCTCTCCGACTTCGCTGTCGCCGATCTCGGAAGAAAACTCAAGACTCTCCTATATTTTTTTTTGTCCTCCCTAGGAAGACACGCCGGCGTTTGCTGCACCATAACCATGAGCACCTCCGTCAATTTCACAGGATTAGAGGAATGCAATCGATTGGTTCCATTTTTTTTTTTTTCAAGTCCAAATAAACTCCGTTAAATTTATGTTGGGGGTTTAGAAAGCTATATATAGTATGCGCACAGCATGCTACTTATGGCTGGCCAAATGGTCTACATAGGCAAATTAACTCTGTTAAATTAGTGGTTGATTCCTCAATTAATTAATATGAATTAATGTTGATTAGGAGTTGATTTAAAGAGACGGCAAGGATCTCTGCCTTAAGCTGCTTCAATCCTATTTACACAAATGATTTTGGCATTAGCTATATCACAATTCTTCTTCTCCACCGGTTCTTGAGTTGGACGTGTTTAGGCTCTAGCGTGCGGTACACAGTCGAGTAATCTAGTATTTGAAATTCTTGATCTCTTGTTATTCTAGTTTTTTTAGATTTATTTATATATCTCACGGAGACTGGTCGATGTTTGAACCGGCTAATAGAAGGTATTGCTAACGGAGAAGCCGTCGCCGGAGCTTCGGAGGGGCCGGCAAACATCCGGATTGGAGGCGCCCATCCCCGAAAGCCGCCAGTTAAGAAAGAGGCGGTGATTTTTTTTTTTCTTTTCCCTCCGGTGTAATTAACAGAGAGATAAAGAGAGAGAGATACGAAGATTAATTAATGTTCAGCTTTATTTTACCTATCTACCCCTCCATAAATTAAAGCAAGATATCTATTGATTGGATCTTAATCTATCAAATGAAACATATGCATCCAACGGTTTAAAATTTTTTGGTTGTGTTGGGTATCAACTCAAACTCTAAGTTAGTATAGTGTTTTTAATTCTTTGCATAACTTTATGAGAATTAGATAGGGTTAGAGATCTATCATGATTAGGAGTTTGGGTTTTATCATGATTAGGAGTTTGAATCTTATTCTAATTAGGACGTTAGGCTAGAGATAGAGTTTTGGTTTCCCTATATATATTCTTCTATTGTTGAAGGGAAAAAAAAACTAATAAGTGTAGAGAGAAAGAGAGAGAGTGTGTGTGTGTTTGGCGGTCTTTCTCCGTGCAAAAGATTGTAATTTGGAGATGATAATGGATTGATTTTGATCCCGTGGTTTTTCCCTGTTGTGGGTTTTCCACGTTAAATTTTGTGTGATTTTATTTGATGTGTTTGGTGACTTTTCGGGTTTTTACGAGATCTAAAAATCCCTATAGATCAGACAAAAGGCACCATCCACTCAAGTGGATAATAGAGTGGATAGTACCTGTATGTAGATCAGACAAAAGGCACCATCCACTCAAGTGGATAATAGAGTGGATAGTACCTGTATGTGTGCGTGATTGAGTATTAATTAAGCATGGCTTTTTGATTGTTCATGTTAACCAGAGATGACCGTGGAGAGATGACAATGATTACACTGCACATTGATTATTACACATTCATTACTTCTACACCGCTTACATTAGTTCTATGCTATGAGAGAAAAAAGCGTGGGGATCTAAATCTCTTTAATTTTTATCGTGGGGTCTAATTTCTGTTACTTTTTTTTAAAAAATTTCATGACTCATCAAGAGTTTAGGAAAGTATAGTGTAGTTATCATTAATCTTAAACAAAAGATTTATTTCTTATGATTATCTTCTTCCTCTTTGGTTTCCTTACACATTACGTACTGTTTTTTTAAATTCATTTCGAATTTTTCTTCTTTTTTATTTTGAGTTAAAGTCCGTAAACAGGCTCTATCTTCTTTGCAACATTGAGTTATAATTCTAGATAAATATTCCTTTAAAAAATTCTAGATAAATGGTAGTTAGCAATAATGTACAGTTTGTAATAATAAAAAAAAAAAAAAGCATAATATATTTGAAAGAATAGGTTTAATGAATGAAAATCTGACCATAGGATGCTTTAAAAGCAATTGGTCCTATTGATTTGTGTAGTTAAAAAAAAGGAATTTGAGATTACCATCAAAAAATAAGAAAAAGAAAATGGGGAAAAAAAGAAACTCGAGAGTGTTGTATATGTAAGCTTTCAACCCCTATCAAGTTGTTTTCGGAGAATTTTTTAAAAAAAGACCGTTTTTAAAACATAATTAGCAAAATCTATCATTTCCCTAAATAATGAGCAAAATCGACATCTTTTTGGCCACGTCATCAAGACTGACTAAAAAGAGTTCAATTTTGAAAAAAAACATCTTTAAAATACATGGGACTACTAGTCCCACGTAATTAAATTGCTAATTACGAAACTAATTAGGCTCAAAATATACACGGTCTATTAGTCATGTGTATTCATTTCCCTTTTTTTTAATCTCAGCCGCCATTACCCCTCTTTCCAGATCTCCTGCCTCCCCTTTCTCCTCAATCTCCTCTATTGCGGTGGTCGAGGGCGAGGGCGGTGGTCAGCAGTCAAGGGAGCCTTAAGAGCAAGGGCGGTGGTCGAGGGAGCCTCGAGGGTCAAGGCGAGGGTGGCCTTGAGGACAGAGGTCAAGGGCTAGGGTCAAGGGCGAGGGCGGTGGTCGAGGGCAGCCTCGAGGGCGGTGGTCGAGGAAGCCTCGAGGGGGAGGGCAAAGGCGGTGGTCGAGGGTGAGGGTGGCCTCGAGAGCGACGAGGTAAGGGCGGCGGTTGAGGGAGCCTCAAGAGTGAGGGTCGAGGGCGGCCTAGAGCGGTGGTCGAGGGTGACCTAGGGCAGTGGTCGAGGGCGAATCGGATGAGAGAGAAGAAAGATGAAGAGAACGGTTGGAGGAGAGAGAGCACGGGTTGAAATTTTTAGTTAACCAACTTAAATACACGTGTATTTTAAAGATGATTTTTTTTAATATCGACTTCTTTTTTGTCAATCTTGATAACATGGCTAAAAATAAGTCGATTTTGCTCATTATTTTAGGGAAAATGTCAATTTTGCTAATTATGTTTTGAAAACGGTCATTTTTTTAAAGTTCTCCAATTGTTTTCGGACATAATGCGGATCGGGTCAGAACCCGACCCAATTCATCCGCGATAAATGTGCAGAGCGACGACGAAGGTTAAGGATCAATCAATGTAATGAGCGGAGAACCTTTTTTCTACAAGATTTTTTTCCTCTCTTCACTGCGAGTGAGGTCGATCGGTACGCTTCTTCAACTTAAATTTCCAATTATTATGAATTAAACATATATTTATCATCATCAATCATACTCAAAACCCGTAAACCCTAATTTCTCGACTTATTAACCTTAGCATTATGGATTTTTAGGGTTTCATTTCAGTACCGCTACCTGTAATTCCCCTATTTTATCGGTGAAATTTGATAATAATTGTTCGTGATCTCATTAGGGTTGAAGGAATTTGAATTCTATAACAGAGAATGGTTAAACTCTTCTTATCGCCACCAGTATATAGTGACTTAGGAAATGAAGGCACAGCAAAAGAGAGGATCTCTCTTTTGCAGAATCTTGAATCAATTATAGGGAGAGTGATAAAATCTGGTGGTAGATATGAAGCTCGGATTTGGCTCTGCAATAGCATTTCAAGCATCCATACTATTGATCCTCGCGATCAGTGTGGCCTGTTTGTTGATATATTGAGATCTAAGAACTCGAAACAAGATGTGGCTCCTCGAGTTCTGCAAATGGTTTTCGAGAAGAGGCCGGAAAAAGTGGGCCCTATAATTGCAAAGCAAAGTTACATGCTTGAGAAGTTTTTCAAAGGTAGTTCAACTTTTTCCATCAATGCTTCTTTCTATATGAACATGTATTCATTTTACATGTTAGTTTTCATTTATTATTTAATGCTTATGTATATATTTTTTCTTTTCAGGTTTGTTCTGAATTTGTTTATTATTTCACCCTTATGTAAATTGGAGTCATCGGACCAAAGTTTAAGAGAGTCAAGAATTGTATGCTTGAAAATGTTAGCTAGTCTCAATGGTTATGCTGACTTGAGAGTAAGTTAGTCAGAGTATTATGTGTGTATGTGCAGGAAACCAGAAGCGCATATTGCAATGGTTCGATAATTTTGCAACTACTAGTGAATCTGGGCATAAGAAAGGAGCTAGAGCACTATCCCAGTTTGCATTTGTGAACCGAGATATCTGTTGGGAGGAGCTTGAGTGGAAAGGGAAGCATGGTCAATCTCCGGCAGTTGTTGCTACAAAACCCCATTATTTTTATGACTTGGATGTCCTCAAGACTGTAGAAAATTTTCTTGAATATGTACCAGATTTCTGGTTATCAGATGAGCTTGCCGAATCTGTTAAGGATGGTGATATTTTGAACCTTGATGTGAAATACTTTGTAGATAAATTTATACAGTTGATGTATGAGGAGAAATTAGATGATATCTGGACAGTCATTGAGGATTTTCTTGAGGAAATTGAATTTTCATTTCTATCACAAAATCTCCTCATTTTGTTGGATGAGAGCAGTCTCCTTACTTTTTTGAAGTCCCTTGGTAGGCTGATTCGTCTAAATGTGAAGTGCAAGGAATATGGCTACCCGTCTTGTTGGCTTGAAAATCTTCTTTCAAAATGTAATGATTTTATGTCACTTGATGATTTTCTTTTGTTAAATGCTGTTGTCTCTCATGGGAGACAACTGTTGCGTGTCTTGGGTGATGAAGATCATGAGGAAGAGAAGGGGAATTTGGAGGATCTTTTGAGAAATGCAGTAGTATGTAGTGATGCTGATCATTGGGCTCTCATGAAAGAATGTGCAGACATGAAAGAGCAGGTGGCAATAAAATGGGCGGGACTACAATCTTGGATTATCCACTATTACTTGTCAAAAGAATGCCGAACTCAGCAGTCGTGTGAATCATTGTTTGTTGAAAATGGAATAAGTTTCCGCAAGTCCGACGAATATTCATTAGTGAACTCAGATGGTTTTTCAATGCTATATAGCTCAAACAGTGACGGAGAAGGCGTTGCAAGAAAAGGTGGTGTCAAGAAGAGAAAGAGAGATAGAAAGAAAAAGAGGAGAAAGAGGTATGCGTCTGAAGATAATAAAGCTGAAGAACTGGTGGAATTTGAAATGTTTGGTGGGTGGCAAGGCTTGCAGTCCGGAGGGAGTAGCTGGTTTCTGTCGACAGATGGTTTTTCCTGTGCATGGAACACTGTATGATGATCTTCCCCTTTTCTTTGTGCATTATCTTGCTAACTTTTCCTTCTCAATGTTTCTTTTGCCTTCATAAGAAAAAAAATGCAGTACATCTCGACATTATATGTTTAGGATTTTTTGGTATTGTAATGTTTATATAATTTGGGGCAACATATAACAGTCTTATTACTCTATTGGAGCTAGATGAATGATACAAGTACATGTGAGGGTGAAGAAAGTGGTTATTTTCCTTGAGGGGAAAAGGTGGTGAAGAAGAGAAAGAGAGATAGTAAGCATGTTCCTTTTAGGACTTGCTTATTGAACCTTAAAATAAAACCAAAGGTCATCAAGTTACATCTTAGTGAAATTATGGATGAAAATAGAATGAATTACAAGCAATACCAATTCTTATATGTCTAATATATCCCTTTTAGCTGTAGCTGAAGCTGATACACAATTTTGCAAAATAAAAAATTATTATTTAAACAATCATGTGCCATATGAATCTTAGTTTCTAAGTTTCCATGCAGGTTAAGTTTTCTTTGTACTTATTTGATTATGCTCTCTGTTTGTCCAATTGTTTGGCGCCAATGGTCATGGATATTATACGTGCTGATCCTTGATAAAGGTAGCATTTGACAAGGGTTTTCACATTGATCATTGACCTAAATCTGAGCTGACCAGAATGGACCTATTCAGCTGCCTAAAAGTTAAATGTGAGACTAAATATAGACCAGAGCAGGTTCTCTCTGAAACTCATCTCACCCATAATTGGTGCACAATCTAGAAGTCTGATTATGCAGCTGCATAACTGTGTGGGGAGGCAGAGTGTTGTGTTGGTCTTATACTGCCCAATAATGCTGTCAAACGGCTTATTGGGTTAGAACTCAGGGAGTCCATCTGCGTATTTAATACCTTTTTGTGTCTTATTAGCCCAATTATTTTATAGATTTTTCACGTTATAGAAAAATATTTGACCTTGTCATTATTTCTTTTCTTGCTTTTCTTGAGTTTGAAACCGTTAGGCTTCGTTTCTGTTTGATTTCAAGTCTGAAGTTATGTTATTATTTTTGGTACACGATATTTTTGACAACATGCAATCTGAGAATTTTCAAATGTTTCTACAACTGATATATATTTAATATATAATAGAACAAATGAAAAAAATTGTAATCGCATATTTTGATTAAATGATTTTCTGATTAAATAGTTAAATTAATTGAGTACTTAGCCTAAAAGGAATATCCATCCCAATAGAATTCTTATTCCATGAATACTTGGTTTCCTAATAAAATTATAAAGTGATCTCTGAATTCCTATCATCAGCAAGTTTATATATTTTTTGAGAAAAGCTATGTGATATGAAGTGTCAGGCTTGACTTGTGCACGGGACTTGTCTTGTGCATAGGTCGTTGCTATGGTGTTACTCGTATTTATGAATTTTTGCTACAGTTCCATCGATGTGTTGCTATCTACTGGACTTCTTGATGATGTTGATGCACAAGTAACTCTTTCATCATTTCACTTATTGTTTGATGAAGATTATTATCTCTATGAGGAGGGGTTTGGTCATTACCTGTGGCCATATTTCCTTATAAATAATATGATGTTTGGGTCAACTATTGTACAAGAGACAAGTTCTAAGCTAGTCACATATATGCAAGTTATTATGAATTCAATCATTGCTCACCAACATAACACAAGTCAGTATTTACAAGCCAAAAGTATATTAGTGATATTTAACTTTTCAATTCATACACATATACGAGTATATGGGTTTACATATATACATGCATTTCTACCAAAAAATGACATACATACACCAAAAGTGTAACTAAGAAAACCCATATACTGTTTTACAAAATTGTTCTACTAACTAAACTTTACTCCATCAAGGAAAATGAGCTGCAAGAGGAGCTAGATTCCTTATCAGTTAACTCGGTCTCCTTTGAGTCTTGGCCACTATCAGAATCGGATAGGATCTGGGTCAACACCATAAGTCACCCACCCATCAAGATCAAGGTCTACATCTATACTAGGACTTCTTGACTCGCCCTCAGAGAAGGCGAGTCCGTGATCATCACTGAAAGTCCCGGCCACATAGGACTCAATGCTAGAGGAGTCAGATGAGATCATGATGACTTCAGAGGGTGAGGACTCTATCGGAACAACCTATACTACTGGCTCATTGTCATTAGAGGGATCAGCCTCAGACTCTGAATAATCTACTATAATGACATTAACCTCTATTGACTATACATCCGAGAAGTCTGGCGTCGCATGGTCAACCAATATCTCTATCTCATCGAAATCGTATTCCCGGTCTTTTAGGTTGCTCCCAAGTGCTGTCTATTGAGGTCATGGAGCTAGACTAGGTATATGAGAAACTTATAGATGAATGTATCTCCGCCATCCTACAAAAGGGGACCATCCATCAGCGCACTAAAATAAAAGAACAAAAAATAAAATAAAATAAAATAGTTAGGTGTTAAGAAAATACTAGAAAAATTCTAAAATGAAATAAAATAGCTAAACCCCACATGTACCTTCCTTAAGATACCTAAAAGGCCTCAATATATATATATAGAGAGAGAGAGAGAGAGAGAGAGAGAATCTTATATAAACTTAAGTGGATAGGAGCTAGTCATCCACCAATTTTTTATCCATTGATGTTGTTTTGGGATCCGTGAAAGATATGAAGAGTCTTTTGAGATTTGTGTATCTATCTCTTGATGGCACAAATCTAAAGACAATGAGTGGATAAAAAGTTTGGTGTACAATGCCTCATATCCACTTAAGTTGACATAAGCTCATCTCTCTCTTTCTCTCTCTCTCTCTATGTATATATGTATATATATATATATATATATATATATGTATATATATATATATATCTCTATATATATATATATATATATATATATGAGAAAAGTGAATCTAAGGTGACACCCTAGGCTCCCACCTAAGAACGCGGCCTAAAATCACATCATTCCCTAATATTTTTTTACGATCTGCTCCGTTGAATTTGATCTACACGTTCTTAAACCTAAACACACCAATTTTGGGGTGAACCCGTCGTATTTTGACCATTCATCTACTCGCTGTAATTTTAACGGTTTCGAATGAATAGAACTTTTTGGACGACTCAAATATATATATATATATATATATATATATGTCACATAATTGATCCATACAACAACACTCATCTAGCACATATACACTATGCTAATGCATCCTACAAGGCTTATAACATCGAAACCTAGGCTCTGATACCACATTATTGTCACGTTCTGAAATTACAGCAGAAATTCATAAATACGGGTAACATGACAACAACGACCCAAGTCTTGTGCATGTGTCAAGTCTGACACTTCATATCACATGATTTTTCTCAAAACATATATAAACCTGCTAATGATAGAAGTTCAGAGCAAAAAGCAGAATGTAGGGCGCAGCGAAAGCGTGATGGCTTGACAGCAAATTAGGAGCCCAGCTTAAATGATTGGGAATATGATTTCGATGAGATAGACCTAAAAGAGATATTGGCTGACCGTGCAGCGCCAGACTCCTCGGATGTAGGTTAGTAGAAGTCATTATAGTAGATTCTTCAAAGGCTGAGACTGATCCCTCTGATGACGATGAGCCAGTAGTAGAGGTTATTTCAATAGAGTCATCACCTTCTGAAGTCATCATGATCTCATCTGACTCCTCCAGCATCGAGTCTCATATGGTCAGGACTTTCAGTGATGATCAGGGACTCGCCTTCTCTAAGGGCGAGTCAAGTAACATTGGTATAGATGTAGACTTGATCTCGATGGGTGGGGGACTTGTGGTGTCGACCTGATCCTATGTCCGAGTCGACTGATAATAAATCTAGTTCCAGCAGCTCATTTTCCTTGATGGATTAAAGTTTAGTTAGTAGGACAGTTTTGTAAAACAGTATATGGGTTTTCTTAGTTACACTTTGGTGTATATAGGCCACTTCTTGGTAGAAACACATGTTTATATGTAAACACATATACTCGTATATGTGTAAGAACTGAAAAAGTTAAATATCAATAATATACTCTTGACTTGTAAGTACTGACTTGTGTTATGTTGGTGAGCAATAATTGAATTCATAATTATTTGATTTGTGTATATGTGACTGGCTTAGAAATTGTCTCTTGTACAATAGTTGGCCCGAACATTTTATTATTTATTATTATAGGGAGATATGGCTGCAGCTAATGACCATACCCCTCACAGAGATAATGATCTTAATCAAACAATAAGTGAGATGATGAGATCTGGAGTTACTCGCCATCAACATCAGGAAGCCCAATAGAAAGCAACACACTGATGGAACTACTGCTCTGATACCATCTTACTGTCCACCCCAAAACTGCAACGAAAATTCATAGATACGGGTAACGCGGCAGCAGCAATCCATGCACTAGACATGTCTCATGCACGAGTCAAGCCTAACACTTCATATCACATAGTTTTTCTCAAAACATATATAAATTTGCTAATGATAGAAGTTTAGAGCAAATTGTAAATACCGATTATATATACGGTTTGCTCTAAACTTCTATCATCAACAGATTTATATATGTTTTGAGAAAAGCTATTTGATATGAAGTGTCCGGCTTCTTGTGCATGGGTCGTTGCTGTTGCGTTACCCGTATTTATGAATTTTCGTTGCAGTTTCGGGGTGTGACATGATCGGTCAATTTTAATCAGCAAAAACACAGACTGTAGTTAGATAGATTGCAGGAATCTCTATATTCTATGGAAATTCCTATGATTTTTACTTGTGATTATAAAAATAAATAAATATTTTGTTCGATTCAATTAAGAATGCTTAACAATTGATCATCACAGTCACTGTTATAAATAGCGATAAATAGCCCCGCAATAGCGACGCTAATAGCGTTAGTGGTCCCTTCCCGTGATTTCCCGCGACGCTATCGCCCACTACGCTATCGCGTAATAGCGGTGACATATTACGGAATATGTCTGTTTACAAAAACGGCCAATAGTGCATCATAACGGTAAATAGTGAGCGATTGCATTCAAAATTTGCTTCTTGACTGCTATTTAAAAGCGGTTTGAGGCTTATTTTTTAAAAATTAAACTCAACCCTTGACCATTGCATTCTACCGTCTCCTGTGATTTTCAGCATACTCCCACCACCTCTCATAACCTCTGGCACCTACCTTGATACTTTCTCTCATCTCCTTCACCGTGAGCTCCTTAGGGCACTCTTGTCACCGCTAAGCTTTTCTTCTTGAAGACGACTTTTTGACTCCTCCAGTCATCTTCGGTGTTACGTGATGGTTATATGTCTATTTTATGTTTAGGATCTCTTTAAATCATCCAATATGTACTTTTAGATTTTTTAGATTTTTCTTTAATTTTTTTAGTATTTATACATATCTAAATTAGACCGCTATTTGACTTTGTGTTTTTTACCGTTATTTTGCTGCAATAGCCCGAAATAACCTTAGCGATGCCTCACCGCTACGTGACACTATCCACTATCGATAACATTGATCACAGTGAAGTAAGAATTTGAAGCAATATATATAACATAGATTACTCCAACAAGTTACATGCATAAGAGAATATAAAAATACATATCCTTTTATTTTCTATAAAAAAAATAGTTTCAACAAAAGAAGGTAACATGTCAAAATTGGGATTTGAGTTCAAATTTTTTGTACAAATAAAATCAATGAATTTGAAAACATTAAACTACACACGTATGCATATACATCCATATATCAAGAACGTTGGCTAATCCGGCTAATTTGAGAAGTAGAAAAACTAGTGGGGACTCAGAAGGAAATTTGAAAAAGTTCAAAAAAGTGATGGACCAGAACCCAAACTTACTCTCAGTATGTATTATAGATTTGGTATTATTTACATTTTGGAAAAGAGAGTGAGGCATTCGATTGTTGTTTTCCAGCAGTAATCAGATGCATATGTCACCATTTAGATCTTTTCCTACATGAAAACAGAATTTTAATGCTTGTCTGCCTCTTCTTATTATGGCTCGCAAGTTTGGCTTTTCTGTAACATTCCATTTAATACATTGAAAAATATTTTGCATCTAAGCATGGTGATGTCGTTTATATGGGGCAACCCTACAATTCCTCAGGTTTGTTATTTTGTTCATATTAATGAGGAGACGCCTGTTGCAAATTCCACATTGCAAAGAGTATTTCTTACTTGGAACAGAGGTCTCGACTTGAGACCTCCCCTAAGCAAATCTCGCGTTACAGATTTGCTAGCCTTCCTTTGAGTACATTCCAAATGTTTGAGCTACCAACAGTGATGAGCAGATGTTATCACTTCTTCATTTTCTTGTGATTTCTGGATCCCTTTTTGCCTTTCTTTTTTCCACTTTTTGAACTTTTTCTGTTGACATGCTGTGAGTAGAATAATTGAAAATTCAGCATCGGGTTAGGGAAGCAGCATAACTGCTGTTGGTGGGGCAGTGGCCTTCACTAGCAACTGTTTCTGACTGTGGAGTGTGAACAGGTAAATTATTATATTCATAAATAACCTGTTCCCTTGCCAAAAGAGTAATGCCTAGTGCTTAATTAGTAAAAAGATCCATGGTATTATTTTGATTAGGGTTAATAATATGTGATCAGTATTCTATTTAATACTGATTATTTAATATGCTTGCATTTTCTTAACATTTGAGATATTTTAGCATTTCAAACAGTGACTCACCCACCCACTCACCGCAAAAATGCGCATACAGCGCTCTGTGTAATAAGGCATTATGTGCTGATGCATCAAATGGTACTTGAGTGCATGCATTAATACTCACACATGTGCGTAATCAATAAAATAACATTGTCAGTTCTAACGAAAAACTTGGACATGCATAGAACCTGACTCCTACCTGGACCATCTTCATGATTGAGCAGTTATTTGGGTCCAAAACCTAACCCAATGTTCCGTTATTGATCCAGCTCTAGTGATACCTGGATTCAAAATCCTGCCTGCAACAGGCCTACAGATAATGCAATTTGAATTGAAGTGTCTGCAAAGTGATGTTCTTGCAATGATTACTTATACTGACTAATATGTTTTGATTAGATGGAGACTTATTTCTATCTGAGAAATGTCATTATAACCCTTTATAGTAATTGGTTGCACTAGATTATGTGCAGAAATTTCTTATTTCCTTTTTGTTTTCCTGGAGTTCAATGGTTGGTACTGAATATTATGCAGGCTGATTTAGCAGAGCACCTTTCTAGGCACTGCTTTTCAACGTGGATGAAATGGGTTTCCTCAAACTAGCAGTTACTTCCAACAGATTTTGTCATTGGATGACCCATTATAGAAGGGGACAGCAAGGTTTCTAGCAATACCTCTCTTAGCCTCTCTCTCTATCTCTTATAAAACACATGAGCACAAATGCTAGCACCATATTTCCGTCGAGATGTGTGATTATTTTATGAAATACTAAAGTGCAGCCATCATTCCAAACATGCAGGATTGAGAGCCACCATCTTTTATATGATCCTCTCTTTTGTCCTGCCATCGATTTTAAAGCCCAACTTAATAGTGCATGATTCACGACTATGCTGGAGTTTCAGGTCTTGCATTGCCTAGTGCTCAAAATGACTTCCTAGGTAAATTGTTTGGTGTCTCTTTCGATAAATATTCCATTGAATAGTTTATTTATGTGTTCAAGAATGGCAAGATCAAGGTACCAATGCTGAACCCTGCTCTCTAAGGATTACGTGAGGAGCTGAAACAACATAATCTCCAGTTGTTTTGTTTTTGAATCTCTACCCTTTAACATGAAAACCTCTTAATCAGATATTTCTGAAGTATGGAAAACTTTGCATGGTATCTTGAAAATTGGATCGTAGAATGAGGAAGAGTAGCTTGGTTGCATGAGAATGTCAATTTTGTGCAATTTACTTTTGTGTTTAAATGGTCATTTTACCTTGTAAGAATTGACCCGGTGTTCTGTACTGCAGTATAGAGTTGGATTTAGTACATAATTAATTGACCTGTATAGTTACAGCAGATATGGTAAGATGGCTCATAGACTTTCACATTCCTGGGAAAATCCTGTTCACACATGTAGAACCTTGACATGACAAACATGTTTAACAGATCCAACTAAATGTCATTGTTAGAATATGTAATTGTAACCTTCAACCTTAGCACAAGTTCGGATTTTTTCGTGTTAAGAGAACAAAATTGTAATCCTCAATCCTCATCACATTTTGAAGGATTTCGCTTGGCGGAGGAGTCTATATTAATTATGTTGTACCCACTTTTGCGTCTGATTTGCAATTGCAGGTTTGAGCTTTGAAGGTTCGAGTATGTTCGTGCTGATTGCTTGAGGCCATAAACCATCTGCAGTATAAGATGTTTATGTGATGATGCTTGTCTTGTATAATCAGGTTGAAGCCATCAGTGACTAATGGAGATCCAATGAATTTCGAGTAATTTCACTTTGGTTATGCTGCTTGCTTCTTATGAATCATATTTTTAAGCCCAAGTCCAATGTTAGCAAGCAATATGATCTGATCACGATGAATTCAGACACGCTAGTTTACAATATTTTTCCTTACATTTTGTTACTCAGGGGAGGATCTACATACAGTCCAAGGGGGGTCACGGCCCCCCCAAAATTTGGGGGAAAAAATTAGAGTGCTCTATTCTTTAAGCCCCCTCAAAATTTTGGGGGGAAAAATTAGGGTGCTCTATTCCTAATTTGGGGGAAAAAATTAGTTTGTGAATATTAATTATTTGAAGATTTTTATGTATATATTAATAGTAAATATATTACCATGAGTAGCAACAAGATTAATAAAGGGGGTTTCATTGAAATTGGAAATTTATGGAGAGGTATTTAGCGAATGGGCAGAATGAGCTCGTGGTCATCAAGACATCACCATTGGGCATCATTATCGATTAGACTTTCTTTATGTCGCGATCGATTCACAAATGCAAGAAATTAATGTGCGTTTTAGTGAAGATGCGACAGAATTGCTCATGCTTAGTTCTGCCTTAAATCCTCAAAATGCATCTGAGGCTTGAGAATACAAGATATATGCAAATTGGTTGGCAAGTTTTATGCACAAGATTTTACAAGTGAAGAAAAAGAGAGTTTGAAGATGCAACTGAAACATTATGAGCATAATGTAGTCAAAGGGTCAGACTTCAAAACTCTTTCAACCATTTCTGAGTTGGGTCAATGGTTGGTAAAGACTAATAAATCTGCTACATACGACCTCATTTCTAGAGTGATCGTACTTGTGCTTACTCTTTCAGTTTCTACCGCTACTGCAGAACGATCATTCTCAGCTATGAATATCGTCAAGACTAGACTTCGAAGCAAAATGGAGGATGCTTTCCTCTCCGACGCATTAATGGTGTTTATTGAAAGAGAAATTGCTAAAAGTCTAAGCATTGATGCTATCATTGAAGGCTTTGAAAATGTTAAGGAACGTCGAATTCCTTTTAGTTAGAGAAATTTTAGTTATAAAAAAAATAGATGATGCTTATTTGACTATTTTTTATATAATATTTATCTTCCTTTTTTGAAATATTTTGGAGATATTGATGTTGGCTATTCTACTCGTTTTATGTGGGTTGTGGTATATCTCTTGTGAATAAAATTACATTAAAAAAAAATTTTATCTATCTTTTGTACGCGGCCCCCCAGAACTAAAATCCTGGATCCGTCCCTGTTGTTACTAAACTAGTTTTGTTTTCATCTTATGATATCAGAACCCTGTTATACAAAGAACTTGGGGACATTCTTTTTATCGTAGAATATTGTAGAATAGCATACCACCCTTGCTTACATTGAGACGCGTACTGAGACTGACCTTTGTTACTGTATTTCAATAGTATACTGCTGACGTTATCATGGAGATTCAGTTGAACTGGAAGTAACTGGGTAGTGCATGTTTAAGAGCCTCTTGTTTACTTTTGGCTGAGATTATTCCATGAGTTAAAAAATGAACCTGGTAGATGTGATGATAAAGAATATCTGAGATATTGAGCTGAGATTATTCCATGAGTTAAAAAATGAACCTGGTAGATGTGATGATAAAGAATATCTGAGATATTGTTTTCTTATTTATTTGATATATATGAGATGAACCTGGTAGATGTGATGATAAAGAATATCTGAGATATTGTTTTCTTATTTATTTGATATATATGAGGAGTGACTTCTTACAACATTAGGTCCATGTTAGAACTTTCTCATCGCCAAGTTATCAATTTAAAGTATATAAATGGTTCTTGCTTATGAAGAAAAGGGTGGGGGGAGAGCGCGGTGACGATTTTGTAATTGAAGAAACCTATAGATATCCGAAGCAAAGTGGAAATGATTCCTGAAAGTTGCCAGCATTCTTGACTTCTATTTTTTCGACTGCACGAGGGCCAAATCAAAGAATTTTATTTAAAACTATCCCCAGAATCATCAAAATGGCAATTTCATTCTAAATTAGTGTCAATCCTCAAACTCATCACCATCCTAACCTAGGAATAACACCAAGATGGATTTCTTCAGAAATAACCAAAGTATACTTAGCCAAGTTAATTATAATTAAAATAATCAACCTTAAACATTAAAATAATCAATCTTTATCTTT